TTTGTCTTGAATTATACCAGTTATAGTAAATCACATATAATATGTAGCCATGACTATATCTCAGATGACTTTACTATAGAGGGGAATGTTTGCATGGATTACATAGACTAAATATGAAATCTATTACCAAATATTGTGAGTGAACTTTAAAATTTTGATAGAGTAACACAGGGAGGCAATTTGAGGCTTAAATATGAATTATTGAAAATGGGATAACTAGAGTTCTGGAGAGGTGGCTCAGTAGATAAAAGTGCATACTGCTATTGCAGAAAATCTGAGCTCAGCTCCAACATTCACAACAGGTGGATGTCTCTACTTGTTCTACTCTATCTCCAGAGGACTTGATATCTTCTTGTGAACTCTGTGGGGATTTGTACTAATGTACACATATCTATATATTCAGACCCACACATATATACATATTTTAAAAATTAATAAAAATATATCATTAAAAATGAAAAGAAAAAACTTAAGGCATTGGAAAAGAAAACTGGGTTGAAACAAGTTTAAGATGAATTTTTTTAAAGTATGAAATGATGAATCATAAGGTACTTTCAGAACCCTGAAATTTTTCTCTCACTTCATGACATAACTGATCCATTAAAAGTCATAACCCTGTAGGAAACAAATGGGAAGCCATCATATGACCAGTAAATAGTTATTAAAAGACTTCCTCTACTTTTGTTATAATTTTTTTGTAAGATTTTATAAATTCCTGCTATAAATGTATCTTTGGTTGAGTCATGTATTGATCTTGAACTTACGATAGTTTATACACAGTGTCTTGTATATCACTGATAAACAAATAATATACTGTGGTAATTATATCTTGTGCTTTTATATCTTAGTATGGCAAAGTTATATGCATATAAAAGTATTATTTTAAAATGAATTACTTTATGATTTATAATAAGAACATGTTTAATTTTAATACCTGTTTTATACGTAAAGGTTTATATTGTTGCAGATGGTAACATTACAAGAAGCCCTGCTCTGAGCAGCCTTGAGCACCTTCACCCAGGAAGGCACCAACCAATTTGCATCTGTACTCACTGAGGTCAGCTTGGAGGACTGGGATGGTAGACACCTTCCCCTGTGTCTCGGTGTGAAACTGATTATTGATAGAAGACAGCAACACACTTGAGGCTTATGACTGGTGCATTTGGAAATCATGACTCCCCCACACATACAGAGAGAGACATAGACAGAGACAGAGACAGACAGGGGAGGGGGTTGAAAAAAACTGCTTGGTGGAACTGGAAACTGAGCTAAAACATACTATTCTCCCTTCTGAAGTTTATAAGGAGACTAGTTTTCATGAGGTCTTAATAAAGGCTTCTGAAAGGCTTTTTTTTTTTTTTTTTTTTTAGTAAATTTATTTTACAACATCATTCAGTTCAATATAATAGCCACAGATTCCCCTGTTCTCCCACTCTCACTCCCCTCCCCCTCCCCCCACCCCACCCCCCATTCCCACCTCCTCCAGATCAAGGTCTCCCCCGAGGACCGGGATCAACCTGGTAGATTCAGTCCCGCCAGGTCCAGTCCCCTCCTCCCAGACCGAGCCAAGCGTCCCTGCATAGGTCCCAGGACTCAAACAGCCAACTCATGCAATGAGCCCAAGACCCAGCACCAACACACAGCTGCCTCCCAAACAGATCAAGCCAAATGACTGTCTCACCCGTTCAGGGGGCCTGATCCAGTTGGGGGCCCCTCAGCCTTTGGTTCATAGATCCTGTGCTTCCATTCATTTGGTTATTTGTTCCTGTGCTTTATCCAACCTTGGCTTCAACAATTCTCGCTCATATAAACCCTCTTCTTTCTCACTAATTAGACTCCCAGTGCTCCACCAGGGGCCCAGACGTGGATGTCTGCATCCAGATTCCTCAGACCTTCTTTTTATAGCCTATTATGAGTTTTACAAGATAAAACTCCTGAAACAAGGCTCAGAGATCAGTTTTCAGGTTGCAAACCTGGGCAGAAAGATTGTAAGAGCAATAAGATCATGGAGTTTGCTGTAGAATTGTGTCTCCTAGTTATGTTGGAAGCTCTACCCATGAAGTTTTAGCAACATGGCTGACTAAATGTGAGCTGAATATGAACAACAGCAAGAGACACTATAGACATGCTAACAATGACGGGGAAAGTCCAGGAGGCCTCAATTCTACAGAAAGAGCTACAGGAAACTAAGAAATGCTAAGAATGGGAGAAATAGTCTTCCCCATGGAAGATCACTACAATTGGTTACCCAATACCTAATGGTCAGTCCTAAAACCATACATACAAGTAACATTATACAGATTGAGAAGGTTATATTTAATGTATATAAGAATAAATATCAATAATTTAAAATGAGCCATGACTGTTAACCCAGGTAGAAACCCACTAACACCATGGGTCACAATGCCAACACTGAGGAAAAATTATATCTTGACTAATTTGTGATTTTTTTCTAACTAGAGAGCAAAAGGGAATGCCAGGCATCCATTTCTGACATCCTGCCTAGCACTCCAGAGGGCTGAGAAGCTCAGTCTATGTATTATATCCTAAAATATGTAGCTGTAGAGTTTGGGCTAAGTCAATGGCTATGGGCTGGTGACTAGGACTCCTGGTTCACCCTGGTGATGGAATGAGACTAAAGACTAGTATGGTAAGGCAAGATTAGATCAAAGATAGTGGAATTATTTTTGGTACCAGAGAAATCTTAGAAGTACATTCTATGAACACAAGTATGTAGCCTGACACTTGCTATTGCTTTACTCTGTAAGCTGAGTTAGTAAACCTTCCATTACTTCATAGAACAACTTAAAAATAATATATTTAATATATTAAAGGGAATAACATATAATATATTATACAATATATAAATATATTTATATATAATATATAATATATCACATGAAATAATAATGTGATATATTATATATTATATAATATAGTCATTTCAGAAGCTTTAGTCCATGGTCATTTGGCTCATAGTTTTTAAGGCTATGGTGAGGCAGAATAGTCAGGTATAAGATGCATAGTAGAGCAAAGATGCTCACTTCATGATATCCAAGGAAAAATGAGAGAAAGGGACTTGTATATCTCAGCATATTTTTTTAAAGTGTACTTAAATGATCTATCTCTTGCATTTTGGGCCTCCCAGTAATATCAATGGCTGAAGACCAATCTGTAACCTATGAGCCTTTGAGGAACATTATGGATCCAAAATATAAGAGAGCTGAATTTGTGGTTCCAGTTTTATGACTAGGGCTCTGGGACCCAGGGCTCTTTAATGCCCAGAGTCAAGCCACCCATCATGATTTTCATATTACTAAATATTACTGTCCGGTTCCTCTTTACTGTTCCATGGTAAAATATTGTGCTTTCTTCTCTCGCCTTCCAACACTTGTAGGTACCTCTGTCCATGCCAGGGTTAGAAAAACCATGTGATACAGACAAGATGGGATTAGTCTTAGCTTTAGCAATACTTATTTTTACATGCCCTTGATAAACTCATAGGCTGTTATCTTGTCTATTTCCCTAGTTCTTATGAAGGCAGATTGGTACATACATAGACCATTATTCAAATCCAGGTTTCATTACAGGGAGATGAATGTTAGAAATTCCTATTTCATCAATTTGCCAATGAGCAATAAATAAATTGGTGTCATCATTCTTAGTAGGAAAGTTCTACTTGCAATAATATACCACCATCAGGATTCTTAGTATTAAATAAATAATGGACATAACCATTACAATAATAGCATACTTATACTACATTGAATGATTCTTGAAGCAAAATTGTTTAAAGAGTTAAAATGTACAAATACATTTCTCTTTTCACTTCCTTCCTCCAAAGCTAGCACACCCTTTAATTTCATTACCTCTTTGCCACTAATTCTTACTGTACACAAAAATATATATGTATACATATATATATAGTAATACGCATATATTATATTTATGTGCATATACATATATAGTACTATACATTCACACACATATATGTATAACTAAATATAACCTGTTCAGTTCACACAATATTACTCTTATGTATGTTTTCAGACTTGTCCATTTGTCTCTGGATAAACCATTGTCGTGCTCTATGGTGAGGAATATCACCTATCCTACTCCCAAAGGAGAGAGCAATGAAGTTTAATTCAGCTATGATACTTATAAACCACACTGACAACCAGCATGGTGTGGTAGCCCTAAGGCTGCAGTAGTGGCATGTATACATTGGCTATCACTAACAGCCGTTTAGTGGAACTTTAAAATCACACAACAAGAGGACAATCATGCCTAGTACTGGACATCCAGATAGCCACTCAATGCTAGTGAAGTCATTGTTATTGGAGAAGAATCTATAATGACTGATTGACTAAACCAGCACAATCCTTCAAAACAAAATAATCATTTGTCCTTATGACCAGAGGTAAGTGCTGTCCTCACCCCTCATCAAAGAAGCTTTTCTTTAAAACAGGTAGAAACCACTATAGAAAACATTGACCAATCAAAATGCAGAGGTGTGGAGCCCAGTCTCAATGGATATATCTACAAAATACTCCCACAATTAAGTCTCAGGCATCATTGCAAAAGAGAGGGGGGGGGAAAGATTGTGAGAGCCAGAGAGTATCAAGGAATTTTCTGTAAGGTTGTGTCTCCTAATAACATCATAAACTACATGCATAAAGTTTCATCAACATGATTGTGAAATATGAGGTAAATGAGTATAAACCAATAGACATGCCAAATACAGTGGTGAGAGCACCAGAAAGGATCTCTATGACACCTATCTCAGACAAGATATCAGTATCCCAAAGTAGAGCAAAAATTGCCAAATTATATAGTTTTCTAATTTGCACCAACAACAATATTAATAGTAGCCATTATGCCTAGGAGCATGAAAGACAAAATAAGTTCCATTTACCTAAAATGGAAAAGACTTGTAATTGATTTATCCATATACACAGTTCCCATGGCTAAGTGTCTTATCTCTTTGTGGCTTGCAATTTTTGATGGCCACTCCCCATCTTGCTATCTTGCTGTGTTGCTCACATTTATTCTGTAGAAAGAATAAGATTGAGAAAAAGGACTCCACCAGAAGAGACTTCACTTTCCTTCAAACAGTTTTTCTTGGATCCATACTTTCTTCATTGCATTCTTCATGTCTGTATTCCTCAGTGTGTAGATGAGAGGGTTGAACAAAGGGGCAATCATGGTGTAAAATAGAGCAAATACCTTGTCATTTCCAACATTATCACCCATTGGGACATAGGTAAAGATGAGTGGCAGGAAGAACATGAACACAACTGTGATATGTGAGCCACAAGTAGAAAGGGCTTTGTGGCGGCCCTTGGATGAGCGGGTCCTCAATGTGGACAAAATGATGATGTAAGAAATGACCAAGGCAACAAAAGTCAAAATGGACAGCACCCCTGTGGTGGTAATGATTATGATAATAAGGAGTCTTGTGTCAGTGCAGGCCAGTTTCAGCAGGGGGAATATGTCACAAAAGTAGTGGTCTATCTCATTGGCACCACAGAAGGGAAGTCTGATAACAATCAGTACATGCACAAGTGAGTGTATAAAAGCACCAACAACTGAGACTATCACAAGAATATAACACACTGGTCTGTTCATGGTGATCATGTAGTAAAGGGGTCTACAAATGGCTACATAACGATCATAGGCCATAACCACCAAGATAAATATCTCAGTGGCACCAAAGAAGTGGGCATAAAACATCTGGGCTATGCAGCCATTGTAGGATATAGTGTTACACTGTACCAATAAGTCTATAATCAATTTAGGGGCCACTGTGGAAGTGAAACATACATCCATGAAGGACAGGTAGCTGAGAAAAAAATACATTGGATACTCACGGAGGTTGCTGCCCCTGATGGTGAGAAGAACCACCAGGTTTCCGAAGAGAATTGCAAGATAACAAAATGAGAACAGAACAGAACACATTGTCTTGACCTCCTCATTATGGAAAAGTCCCAGTAAGATAAACTCTGTGATGTTCCCATACCCCATTGCTTCTATGAGCTCGATTATTTAGAGGGAAAGAAGGCTGTGCCTGAAGTACTGGTCTTTCAAGGACTTTGTTTCATTTTCAAAGTCATTTTTTAATCAGTAAGTATATGCATTGAGTGTTTAGGATAATTCAATTGTAAATCTGTTACTATGGATAGAATAATAAGATACATAGAAGGCTTGAAAGTATATTATAGTTCATGAGAACAAATGCACACAGTGATACTGTAAATAATAAATTAATGGTAGTTGTTAGAGATATTCCAAAACTTTACATACATTTAGTAGGAAGAACAAGGTAGATGTTTTAAAAATTAAATACATACTTGAAGTGCAAAATCAAGATGCAAGTTCACTATAGTACTTTAAGAATAAATTTTTATATTATAGGTATATATGTTAACAGCCATGGAATTATCCAATTTTATTCAAAAGTGAGTAGGTTATCGTTATTCTCAGCCCTTCATAATGACTAAAATTACTGATTTCCAAAAGTTTGTGCTAGCACTCTACTTCAGATGACTCATGATGTCACATTATTGAACCACTTCACAGCAATCTCAGGAGTGCCATTGAAACTTATCATAAAATAAGTAATAAAGGCAATAAACAACACAAGCAAAATTTTAAAGAAGAAGGTAGATTTCTGCCCAGGTTCCAGAATGACTATGATGTCCTAGATTTCACCTAATTTCCAAGTTGATTTTCAAGTCTGTTCTGGAGGTTCTTGTTGTTGCCATCTAGGATCACCTTGGATGTTAGCACCTGCAGGGACACAAAGTGTATCTATTGGAATGTCCTCACATCACCTATTTCAACAACTTGAGTTTCTAAATTAAATCACATGTTTTCACTTTACCAGACACTCTGCATGTGCATAATGACAAACCTTAACATATGTCAGTGAAAAAAGAGAAACTATAAAATATTTTCCTCATTTTCTTTTTATTTTCTATACCTATAGTAACCTGACCTAAAATATGTTACATAGATGCTCAATTCAATACATTTTTATAAAATTAAATCAATCAGCCTTACACAGGAATGAAAATATCACTATACTACAAAGAATTAGAACAGCAAGAAATCAATGCCCTTTGCACTGTATGACTCCTGAGGTAAAGCTTCAGGAAAGGTACATTTTATACAAAAAAAAAAAAAAAAAAAGAGAGAGAGAGAGAGAGAGAGATTATGAAAGGATTTCAGAGATTGACTCAAATTCCACCCATTGATCTCAAGTTAACACATCCTTGCATAATTATCCCCCCAAACTCTGAAAGTGTCACATGAAAAAAGGTCCACTTACAAATCTAAATCAGGGAAATGTAAATTAAGCAACAATATAATTACTCTGATTAGTCAGCATTATGTGCATAAAACTTAAAATATTTTAAGACAACATTTAATGATGGGTTAGGGAATAAGTATTTACCCTGCTAAAAGAACCCCACGAAGGATTCCAAAGAATAGACGAGATCGGGTTCGTTCAGTCATTGCAACCTAGTAAAAATTTGAAAATTGGAAAAGGTTTAAATATATTGTAGTAACAAAGCAGAAATAGAGTATGGTACTATTTTTTTTTTTTAACTGTGGAGTACAAAGCAGAAGCTTCAGCAGCTTAACTGGATCTGTATGACAGTAAGGAGAACCACATACCGTAGGCATAAAACATAAGCAGTTAAAAAGTTGGCCTAAATGTAATGAACATGTGCAAGAAGTCACACCCAACTAATTTCTATGAGTACCTGAGTACTTATAAACGAATTAAGAAAGGTGTGGAATGGCATGATTTCATTTGAGGAATAAAGAAGATGATGATCAAAAGATATTATAATCAAACTAGATGTTGCTTTCCTTACCAAAGATATTTTCCTTACTTCTTTAATTAAATTCATATGCCCATTATTTTAATATGGCTTTGGAAGAATTCATTATATATCAGATGGAATTTAGATGAATAAAGAAGAAATTATAATCTCTCATTAAAACTCTGCAAAAACTTGAAGGCCCTTTTCTTTATTATTTAACACTCCATTTCCTCCTTTAATAAGGTAATGAAGTTGTAGAAGCATTAGAATCCTAAGCATTCAAATCCACAAATTGTCACACATGATGTAAATATAAGTAAATACACTCTTGTCCCACACAGAGACAGCCAAAGAAATAGTCCACAGAAGAAAACAAGGAACACATTAGGTGAGCACCTGCATTTACACATATATCCTTAATTCTACATTTGCTCTCAGAGTGAAGAAAACTAAATCCCCTTGTTCTTTAAAGTCAGTAGGATTTGACTAAAATTCATGAACTCTTAGATCTAAAGTTGATATTGTGGATGTAAAATGTAATGGAAAGGGAGAAATAACTCAACGTCAGATTTCCACAGTGTGTTGGATTTCTTTTCTCTTTCGTAAATTATTCTCTTTAGAAATAGGCTTTGCCAATTATCTCTTAAGATGCAATTGAAATCTTTCGTTGTGTCCACAAGGAAGGCAGTCCATCACCATTATTATACTGGTTAATTTGTATGAAATTAGCTTTGGTCATCTCTTAATCATTGCCTATCTTACATAACTCTGACCTTTGATTTTTCTCATGTAAAATGATATTATCTAATATTTTATACCACAAGGGGTTCTTGTTAAAAACAAAAATATCCACATTAAACAACTAAGTGTAGACATGGATCGCTAATATGTTGTAAGAACTAACTAAAGATTAGCCATTTTGTTATTTTCTTTTCATGAAACTGCATCTTCTTTAATTGGCTGATTTCTAAAGGGAAAAAAAATCTGAAAATTTCTGAGGCATTTGTGAGACAAGGAAAGCCCTAAGGATATATTTTCTTCAGTGATTTTAATGCTTCCCCAAATATGGATTTCTATAGAAACTGTAAGCTATTTTCACCAGTACTTTTCTGGTAAAAGTCTTATATTAATAAGAATACAGAGAACATTACAAGATCTGACATTATGGATAAAGTGATCGAAATCAGTTAAAAAAATTTCTCAAGAAATCCTAATATAATACCTGCAAAAGAAAATCCCCTTTATAAAGTGGAATAATCAGACAATACTTGCAGAAGATAACAATTCTCTTTCTGTATTAAGATGTTTTTATTAGATTATTTAAAGATTTCTGGGATTTATTATATATTTGTTTATACTTTTATTTCATTACTTATACTATTTTTAAATGCTTTAGTTTATCATCAATTTTCTATCTCAATTAATTAAAAGCATATTCTCACTTCCTTTCACAGCCTATCCCACCAGTCTTTAACAGTCCCAAATATAAAATTAAGACTTAATCAAGTATTCCTGTGACTGGTTTTCTATTGTAATACATCCTCTAAAATATTCTAGCAAGCTATTAAAATATGAAGTTAGGATACAAATGAAAAGAATTTAAGGTTATCCAAAATAGTTACCAAGCAGCTAAATTCAGAATACATAGTTCATGAAAATTACAATTATCCTGGAAAACAATTAAATAAAAATATATTAATCTATGATTTTATTTAGACTCGGTGTTTTTAAAAAAAGCAAAGGAAAGAATAAAGAATGAAATAAGAAAGTAAAATAGCCAAGTTTTCACTTTTGATGTTGGCCAGTTCCTTTCAGCATTTGAAATAATATCTGTAATTCATAAATTCATGACAATAATTTTAAAAACATATTCTAACATGCAATAACAAGTAGATATTTCAAGAGGTAAAAATGAAGTAATATAATTCACATGCTTTGTGTACTGCTGTCAAATTGTAGTTAAAATCAATGGTGTCACTAAAACTTACTCTGTGAGTGCTAGGAATAAGAATGAGAGGACATCAGATTCATTTGAAAAATTTGAAATGCACCTGGGCTCTTTGCCCTTGTCTTCCTCCATTGTGGTGATGAAATTCCACGTCCAGCCCTGCAGGGCTCAAAGCTTTTCGAGAAGCTGCAGTTCAGTATAGGAGAATTTAAGGGCACTGGAGGGAGGGACTTGGAAGCAACCCCACAGACAATCCCCTAGGAAATTCCTGAAGCAATCTGTCAAAAATAAACTCATATGATTTTAACTACCTGTGTTTAGCTTTTCAGCTGTACCTTTAAAAATACTTGAGATTGTTTAGATATATGATGCACCATACCACATGATTTATGTTAAGTGGGAAAAAAACATTCTAAAAAATTTGCCACTATCTACACTGAAAAAAAATCTTTACATGTTCATTGGGTGTTGAATATATTGATAACAATAAAGCTTGAAATCTATTAATAATAAGCAAACTTGCCCTTTTCTTAACAGAATTAAGGTCAAACTTAGATGCATCCATTTCAAATTTCTCATAAGATGCACCTCTTATAACATCATTCCATGTTTCAAGTTATCTCATCAGGTTTGCAATATCTATTTTATTTCAGATCACATGATTCATCTTTCCATGTGATATCTTTTATTTTATCTCATTTAACACTATTGTTTTCTTGAATTTTTTTTTAGTCATATCTTTTATTGTTTGAGATTATAATTACATCATTTCCCTTTTTCCTTTCCTCTCCCCAAACCCTCACATATGCCCATTCTTGTTCTCTTTCAAGTTCTGGTTTCTTTCTTGTTTTAATTCTCTTATACAATGTATCCTGAATACAGCTTCCCTACTCTCCACTCCTCCCAGTCCCTCCAGCTTCCTTTTCCCCCACATCCACTCCCCCACCATCCACCCTCACCCCATTCCCGTCTTCCATTAGAAAGGGGGCAGGCTTCCCAGGGATATCAACCAAACATGGCACAGAAAGATACAATAAGACCTGGCACGAACCCTAACATCAAGTCTGGGTGAGACAACACAGTAAGAGGAAAAGGATCCCAAAAGCCGGCAAAAGAGTCAGAGACATCCCAACTCTGTCAGAACTGTTGTAAAGTACATATATGTATATACATATATTTTCCTAAATACATAAATATAACCTGGTTCAGTCTATATAATGTTGCTTGAAATATGTTTTCAGATTGACCATTTAGTATTGGATAGCCAGTTGGGGCACTTTCCCTTGGAGAAAA